TCTCTCTCATTTTCTGTCCTTTCTTAAATCATTCCTTCCTGGCTTTTGCTCCCACCACTCCTAGGCAACCTTGTCCAGGAGGCCAGTGTGTTCCTTCTCTGCTGTTGAGTGGGATGGATGCTCCTTTCTCCCCATGCTTGACTGGCTCCTCCTCCTTGCACACTTTCTCGGCTGGGCCTCAGGGACCCTCTCCCTTGGGGCTTCCCTCCTATCTCACTGGCCCCTGCTTGGTCCTCTGCACTGGTCCTAATGGGGCCTGGCTCCAACTTTAGTGTGCACTCAGGCTCTGTCTACATATTCAAATCCCGCCCAGGACCTGCAGCTCCTTCTGTGTTGTGATGCTCAGTTCTACCTTGGGCTGTGATGTTTGTCTTCACATGTGTAGCAGGCATCTCAAACTTACCCTGTCCAAACAAAATCCCCAATTTCCTCCCCACACGCACTCTGTTCTCGCAGCCTTCTGCAGCTCAGCAAATGGATACTTCACTCTTCTAGCTTTTGGGGCTATAGATTTTGGGGTCTTTCTTCATTCTTCTCCCGATCTCATATTCCTCTGAATCAGTCCTGTTTTCTTTCTTTCTGGGGTTCGAACTCAGGGCTTCATGCTTGCAAAGCAGGGACTCTATCACTTAAGCCACACCTTCAGTCCATTTTGCTCTGGCTATTTTGGAGATGGAGTCTTGAGAACTACTTGCCTGGGCTGGCCTTGCGACTCAGTCCTCCTGATCTCAGCTTTCTAAGTAGCTAGGATTACAGACGTGAGTCACCGGCACCCAGCTAATCAGCCTTTCTTAAATGCAGTCACCCTGGGGTCAACTTGGGGGATTTATTTCCAGGGCCCCGTGGGACACCAAAATCCATGATGGTGTGTCTCTTAGATAAAATGGAATATATTTGCACATAACCTGCACATGTCTTCGCGCAGACTTTATCACCTCTGGATTAACCATATCTAGTGCAGTGTAAATGGTGTTCAGGTGGCTGCCAACTGGACTGTTTAGGGAAGTTAGATTGTTTAGGGAAGTAGACATGAGAAGTCTACTCAGGTCTAGTACAGACATGATGGGACTATTTTTTTTGACAGAACTGGGTATGAACTCCAGGTCTTGTGCTTGCTACTCAGGCAGTCTCCAATATGAGCCGTGCCTCCAGACCTTTTTGCTTTATTTTTTGAATAGGATCTTGTGTTTTGGGGTGGATCAGCCTGAACTGTGATCTTCCTATTTGTACCTCCCCTGTAGCTGGGATGATGGTACCATATCAGGCTTGTTATTGATTGAGATGGGGGTCTCATGAACTTTTTGCCCAGGCTAGCCTTGAACCATGATCTCCACCTCCTAAGTAGCTGGGATTACAGAGGTTAGCCACTGTGCCTAGCCAGCACAATCTAGTCTAATCTACAGATGCTGAGATTAGGGCCGACTGCCCATCAAGAATCTGACTGCTTCTTGCCCTCTTCGTGGCTGCTGGCTCACTGTAGGCTCACCTCCTTTTCTATGCCTCCTACTCCTGTCCTCTGCAGTCTGTTCTTCCATTCAGCCCCAGTGACCCAGTTACAGCTCTAGTCAGATCTGGCCGTTCCTTTGCTCCACACAGGCTGCATAGTCCTTCTGAGATCACGTCACCCACCCCTCATTGTGCTGGCTTTTGGGCTGTTCCTAGAACACAACTGGCCCTGTCTTCCCCAGGGCCTTTGCACTTCTGTTCCTCTGGCACAGAATGCTGTTCCAGGTGTGCAGGTCGTAGTCTCTCTCTTTTCTGCTCAATGTCCCCCTAGAGAGAGGCCTTCGGTGACAGTCCTACTTAATTTACCTCCGGGCCTCTTGGATACCCAGGTCATCTGCCCAGGCCTGCATGCCATGTTCGAACCTTTGTCATAGACGGCCTTTCTTTGTAGAATGTAAACTGCAGCAGGGGAGCAATCTTGTCACTCGAGCCATTCTTGGTGCACAGTAGGTTTGCAGCAGGGCTTTGTGGTAAAAATGCAGTTGAAGATTTGGATGGTGTCTCTGTCCCTAGAGCTGGCTTCCTAGGGCCATTCAGAACTCCTCCTGGGGACAAATGGCCCTGGCCTCCCACCCTCATGCTCCCAGTCTGGGCTGTGGGGCCACCAGCCTAAGGACCCCCACCAACCCCAGAGAGTATCTTGATTGACAGCGGCAGAGAGATCACTCTGTCAGCCAGGGCGGAGGAAGCATTTATCAGTCACCTGTCTCACGGTGTGGGGAATGGTGGCAGAGCCAAGCGCTTCCTGGAATGTCATCCTGGCACACAGTTCTCTGTCATCAAGACTGAGTCAGCACGAGGACTTCATCACTCAGCCCAGCAGGCAAGGGCAGATCCACCTGTCGCCTCCCCCTGGCCCGGCCCTGTCTGATGTCACAGCTCATTAGAGGCTGGGAAGCCTCATCTCTGCCCCAAGGGTGGTGATGGCAGGGAGCCACCAGCCAGGACCTGACAGTGGCTGTCATACTCCACAGTGACGGGCAGCAGCTGCCCTGGATGAAGCGGAGCAGGCTGTGGTCAGCATGGCCGTCTTCATCCCTTTCACGTTGTAAATGATTTTTACTTAGAGTAGAAGTCCCTCAAAGGAGTTTTATGGTCAGTTTTGATGCACACATGCAGTTGTGTTCACAATAAGACAGGGCAGAGCTGTTCTTTTCCCCAGTCCCGCCTTGGCCCTAAGACCAGCCTCTCTCACCAGCCCCGCCTGCTTGTGGTCACTGGTCTGATCTCTGTCCTCCTGACTTTGTCTTTTCCAGGAGGTTCCAGGAGGGGAACGGAACAGTAACCTGTTTGCATCTGGCTTCTCTCACTTGGCTTAATGCATTTGAAATTTATTTACTCGTGTTATTGATGCGGATCAGACGTTTGTGCCTTTTCATTGCACAGTAGTATTCCATCAAAGGAGAACTGGTCTATCCATCCCTGAGTTGAAGGATATTGGGGTTGTTTCTTGTTTGGGGTGATTTTGAATAAAACTACTATAAACGTGTGTACAGGTTTTCATGTGAACATGAGGTTTCCTTTTCTCTGGGTAACTACTTAGAGCTGGAAATGCAAGATGGTAAGTAAGGCAGGTATACTCTTTAAGAAATTGCCATGCTGTTTTCCCAAGTGGCTGGGCCAGGAGCAGTGTTGGTCAGCGTGGTCCCACCTCCTTTCCTCTGGGGATGGACCCTGCTTAGTTGGGCTTGTCCCTGTGTGCATACAGAAGCATCTCCTTGGGGTTACCTGGCATTTTCTTGGTGACTTACCACGTTCAGCATCTTTTTTGCATGTCATTTGCCATCTTTCTGCCTCCAGTGGTGAAATGAATATCCAAATCTTTTACACACTTAAAAACCAGAGCTATTTCTCGTATTAGGGGATTTTAGAATGTTCTTGTTAAGTTCTGGATCGAGGTCTTCATCAGATCCATGACTTTTTAACACGCCTCTCTATCTATAAGAAGAGGCTCTTTTCATCCTCTTAAAGATGTCTGCAAACAGCAATATTCTTAAAATTGACCAAGTCCAGTGATCAATTTGGTCTTTTATGGGCCTGACTTTTCATGATGTACCTGAGAAATCTGCCTTTCTGGGAGTCACATGATTTTCTTTTACAAGTTGTATATATATATATATGCCACACGAATATATAATACATTCTGTTTTTGGTAGGACTGGGGTTTGAACTCAGGGCTGTGAACTTGCAAAGCAGGAGCTCCTACTGCTTGAGCCACATGTCCAGTCCATTTTGCTCTGGTTAGTTGGGAGATGGGGTCTCGTGAAATGTTTGCCCAGGCTGGCCTTGAACCATGATCCTCCTGATCTCAGCCTCCCAAGTGGCTAGAATAATGGTAGGCGTAAGCCACCGGGGCCGGGCTTATGTATAGGTTTTACATATAGACCTGTCATTGATTCTGCATTTGTTTTTTATGAAGTAAGGTGTATGGACTGTCTTTTTGTTTTTTTCTCATTGATATCCTGTCATTCCCTGGCATGTAACTGTTCTTCAAAGCTCTTTTTGTGTGGCCTTCTATTTACCAATACCACACTGCCCAGCGGCTGCAGTGCTACTGGAGACCAGGTGCAGTGACACCGCCTTTTGAGAATGGGGGTTGCTTCCCCCCCACACACACCTTGGGTGGGGTCTCGCTTACAGCTTCACTTCGGGACGCCATGCTCCACTCAGACTCAAAGCCACCTCTTCTCATGCCTGGCACTCAGAGTATGGCCTTTGGAGTCAGGTGTGGGTTTAATTCTCAGCCCTGCTTTAGTTAGTTGTATAGCCCTGGGGAAGTCACTTTGTCCCCCTGTGCCTCGGTTTCCCTATCTGTGAAGTGGACATAAATGATGTTATCTGCCTTGTAGGTTGTGGTAGAGTTCGAGCAAGTCCACGTGTCAGGTTAAAGGGTATGAAATCGCTGACATTTGAACATTTTTGACCTACACAAACTTAAAATAGTCCCACCTGCTAGAATGTCCCTTGTAAGATGGGATATCCATTGTCCTCTTCCCTCTTGTCGTCACTGGATGCGTTGCTGTTGGAGGTCATGGCTCTAGAGGCTTCTGTTTCTTGTTCCCTCCGATCGGGCAGCCCACACCCACCATGCTCTTCCTGTGTGACCAGCTTCTTGCCAGGTCTTCAGAGCAATGTGACCCAGCTTTGTTTGTGTGGTGCAGACAGCGTGACAGGCGTGTGTGCTGAGTGTCATGGGAACAGCAAGGAGGGCAGGGCTGGGGACGAGGCCTTTACGTGGGCCTTGTAGGGTGACTGTAGTGTTAGGGGGAGCCTTCCGGGCAGGTCACAGCATGTGTGAAGGCTGGGATGGGGGAACGGATAAACTTCAGGGGGAGCCTAAGTTTTGGACTAAGGGGTAGAGAGCAGGGAAGCAGCTTGGGTGGTCTAGGATGGCTTCACCAACGACCCCCCCCTTCCTTTCCCTCCACAGGTGCTGCTAGTTTGACCCACACCCTTGGGGACCCCCATCAGACCTGGTCCACCTTTGCCTCGTCATGGCTGCAAGAACCATTGTCATTGACCACGGGTCTGGCTTTCTGAAGGCCGGCCTGTCGGGCCGGAACGAGCCACGGATGGTCATCCCAAGCATCGTGAACTACGTCCCGTGCAGGGAGAACCCCGGCCCCAGCTACGCCCAGAGGCATGTGAGCCTGGGCATCGACTTCCGCCGCCCCGACACCTTCAGCTACCCCATCGAGCGTGGCCGTGTGCTCAACTGGGAGGGCGTGGAGCACATCTGGTCCTTCGTCTTGGAGAGCCTTCGGGGATCGCACGATGACTCCCCCGTGATGGTCACAGAGTGTCCCCTGAGGACGCCCTCTGACCGGCAGAAGACCATGGAGGTGAGGCCTTCTGTGGCAGAGGAGGCGCAGTTGTTAGTGCTTTGGGCCCTGATTTTTCAGATATCGCTTCTCAGGTGGGTTTTGGATGTTTGCTGAGTAGCTAATGTGTCCCGGGCGGTGCTAGGCTCCTGGAGACAGAAGCAGGGTGATTGGGGGGCTCCGTGGAAAGGCTGCTGCCTGGGTGGGTGGGTGTCTGTTCTTTGAATTCTGTGAGTGCTCAAAGACCAGGTTCTGCTCTTCCAGGAGCTTGTATTCTGGTAGGAAGACTTGACCATGAAATTAACAAATAAGAATTCTGGAAACAACATGAGATGGGTGAGGCTGACTGGTGGGAGGGGGAGCCTGTTTGAACAGGGTGACCATGGAGGGCTTCTCAGAGGAGGTGATTTTAGCCAGTGATGCTAAAGCCCAGAGAGCTGGGGAAAGAGGTTGACACAGGCAAGTAGGACAGTGGTGGTGGGGGGGGACCTTGCAGTCCTGCTGGACTGTGGGGAGCCCCTGGATTTTACTCTAAATCAAGGGTTGGCAAACTACAGCTCAAGCTGGCACTCCATTTGTCTTTGTAAATAAAGTTTTATTGGCACATAATCACCTCTGCTTATTTACATCTGGTCTATGGCTGCTTTCTCAGTATGACAGCAGAGTGGAATAGCTGTGACAGACTCTCGCCCATAAAATTGGAAATATTTGCTATTCTGGTTTGCTATGAAATGCATGAAGCCTAGTTAGACTGGAATCTTAGATAAATAGCAAATCTGTGTACGTCTCAAATAGGGTGTGGTGCACACTTACACCAGGTATTTTATCTGAGACTCAAACTCCGCTGGGCACCCTACATTTCCTGTACAGGAAATGCTCACCAGCCCTGATCTATGGGGGCTCAAGTCTGAGTTTCTAATAGGAAGAGAATTCTGGCTATTATTTGGGCCATAGAAGGTGGGGGAGCATTCGGTGAGAGAGGGTGGAGGAAGTCCCTGGGGGAGAAGACAGGCTGCTGGGCCCAAAGCAAAGGGGACCTGGACAGCCTTTCACACCGGCCCATCAGGACCTGGGGTGGCGCCAGAGCTAGGGGCTTGGCGAGGGGACACTGTAGGGGTCCAGGAGGAGAGAGGGAGAGAGTCGGCCCAGGGACTTTGCCAAACCAAATGTCAGAATACACTTGACTTGACATCTGGAACAACTTTTACTAAAAAAGGAACCAGCTTTGCGTACCTGGCTGTGAGTGTCTTCTCTCTGTCTCTCTCTCTGTCTGTCTCTCTCCCTCTCTCTCTCTCTCTCTCTTGGCTTCTTCGTTAAGCTCTTCTTCTTCTAAGGAGGCAGTGGAGACTGTGCATCTGACTTAGCCCTGTCCCCCTTGTCCCCTCAATGCTCACAGGACCAGGTGTCCCAACGCCTTCTGGGTGGGTTGTCCTTGCCCTTCTGAAAGTCCCCATCAGACAACTCCTGAGGGAAACTTTGGCTCCTGTTTTGAATCCTCTAGAGCCTCTCCCTTGGTCCCATCGTCTGAGTGTCAGGGGTTCTGTGCCCAGCTCCCAGCAGCAGCCTGAGGGTCCCCAGAGAGCAGGGAGCAGGGGCCGTGCCACTTCACAACCAAGAGTTGAGCAGGTAGCACAGAAGTGACCAGAGCGCTTGGCTCCCAGACAGTCCCCTGTGTGTCTTTCTTCCTGTTGCAGATCATGTTTGAGTTATTCGATGTGCCCTCCCTGCTGCTGGCTGACCAGCTGGAGATGTCCCTGTACGCCTCGGGCCTGCTGACCGGCGTGGTGGTCGACTCCGGCCACGGCCTGACCCGCGTGCAGTCCTTCTTCGTGGGCCGCCCCTTGCCCTCCAGCAGGAAGACGCTGGAGTTCGCCGGCCAGGACCTCTCGGACTATCTCTTCAAGAGCCTCTTCAGGGAGACCTGCGACCATCACAACCTGTTCCAGATGGAGACGGTGGCAGCCATCCAGATGAGCAAGTGCTACGTGCCACAGAACCTGGGCGAAGCCCTGGACTACCGTCAGAATCTGCCCGAGGGCTCAGACGAGAGAAACTCCTACCAGCTCCCAGATGGCACCCCGGTGGAGCTGAGCCCCCTGCAGCGGCTGGCTCCCGAGATGTTTTTCAGCCCGCAGACGTTTGATCTGCAAGGACCCAGCATCTCCCAGGCCGTCAAGGACTCCGTCACATCCTGTGAGGCCTCCAAGAAGCCGCTGCTCATGTCCCACGTGATGGCCTGTGGGGGGAACAGCTTGTACCCCGGCTTCACCAAGCGCCTGTACAAGGAGCTGACCTCAGATGACTTCTCCTCCACCAAGACCGCCATCTGGCTGGGCAGCAGAAGAAACTTCAGTGTCTGGCTGGGCGCGTCTGTTGTGGCCCATCTTTCCACCTTCAGGTCTGAGTGGATGACCAGACAGAAGTACATGGAGGACAGGAGGCTGTGACTCATCAGCCCATCAGCCAGCTCCTCAGTGGGCCCGGGGGGATTAATGTCTGTGAAAAAGTTAGGGAAGGCATAGGGCATTGGGGGAGGGGCGTTGGTGACTTTGGAGTTCTGAGTCAGGAGATTGTTTTAGCTCCTAAGTTTTTATCTGTGTCAAGAGTGGGATCCTATCCAAGGGAGAGCCATGTGTCATTCTCGGACACCGTGAGGGGATGGTTTCTCTACAGTGGCATGTCACTGGGGTGGGAGTGACCCTCTGCCACTTCCACGCCTACCAGTCACTGAGTTTCTCCTGAGATCTTCCTTGGGTGCCCCCTTCTTGGCTGAATGTTTTAACTGGGGCAAGGGAGAGTGGGACCTCGTGGTAGGTTCCTGGTTATTTTTGACTAGGGAGTTAGGAGGGAGGGTTGGGACAGTTGAAGTTTTTAGTCCCCAAGGCTCTTTCTGCTGCAGCTGAGCCACCTTACGCCCATGCCAGGGCTTGTTTTATTTGTGCAAATAAACCAGATCTTTGCAACTAGTGCTGGCTCCTGTGGTGGTGGCCGGGTAGGGCACAGTCCCTCGGGGAGACGCAGGGGTGTGGCAATGGGAGGCCGCGTGGGGGCCTGGGCGGGTCCTGTGGAGCTCAGGCGCCTGCAAACAGCATTATCACCAAGCAGAGAGGACAAGGGCCCCGGGACCTCTGGTTCTTCACGACACATGCCTCCACTCCTCCCAGTTGTTTAATCTCTTATTAAATGTGTATTTGACAAATACTCGAACACTTTCTATGTGCTGGGTACTGTGCCCAGCACTGGCGACTTCATATGAGGTTCTGTTCCTGAGGCCACAGTCCTCCGTGGGGACACGGGATAAGTAAACACAGTCATCCCTTGGTATCCAGGGGAGGGTTTCTAGGACCCCCCAAAGGATACCCAAACCTAGGGATGCTCGAACCCTTATCTAAAATGGCACAGCGCATAGAACCTACACCCCCACGTTTTGAGTTAGCTCTAGATGACTTATGACACCTAATGCAGCATAAATGGTGGTCATACTTTACTGACATTGTTTAGGGAATAATGACAAAGAGTCTGCACTTATTCAGTACAGAAGCAATTTTTTTTTTTTTTTTTTGGTGGTACCAAGCTTTGAACTCTGGGCTTTAAGCTTGCCAGGCAGGCGCCCTACCACTTGAGCCATGTGCCTCCCACCCCCACTCCTTTTGCCTTTTAGTTTATTTCTCAGTTCAGGTTGGCTCCTGACTATGATCTGCCTACTTCAGCTTCCCGAGTAGCTGGGATTACAGATGTGTACCACCATACCTGGCCCCCCCCAAAATCATTTTTTCCAACTGTGGTTGTATGAATCTTTGGGTGACGTACCTGGGGTATGGCGGGTCCATGGTAAAGAGTGAAATGAATCAATGCGAGGAGATAGCATGGTCCAAGGGTGGAGGGGAGGTTTCTCCCAGGGGGTTGTACTGGGACAGAGACCCCAATTACTGAGTCCTTTTCTTCCTCTGCCTGCTGTGACCACACTCCCAAGTCCCTGGAAGGGCTTATGTGACCTCTGACTAATTCAGTGCACCCCCTAACCCCTAACATCTGATCAGCCTGCAGGCTGCAGGAGATCAGGGGAGGCAGGGAGACTTAGGGGGTGCACAGCTCCAGGAGGAAGGAGCCTGAGTGACAGCTGGAAGAGGTGCCCTCCTCACCTCACCAACCTGTGCTGGACTCAGGCAGGAGGAGACTTATGTCTAGCCACTGGGATTTGGTGGCTGCCATTTTGCTTCCTCTGACTAATACAGAGAGGAGCCAAAACGATTTACAAATACCCTTTCTGTGAAGTGGCGGAACTGGGGTTTGAAGCCAGTCTGGACCATCAACCTCTGATGGTCCAGCTGTTTCTGGGGGGCTCTTGCTGCCTGGTGTTAGGGCTGGAGTGCAATGACCAGTAAAGTGGGTGGGAGACTGAAGCCCAGGGAGCCCCAGCGCTGCAGGGACAGGTGGAATTTGGGAAGCCAGACTCCAGCTCACCTTGTCTTTGCACACATGAGTCATTTCCCCTCAGTTACAAATATGCCACCAAACTTGAGCTGTCCACCTTCCCTGGAGTGGGGGGCCGAGGGTGCTGACTTCTTGCTGGGACAGCTGAGCACCAGCCCAGCGAGGGCCTCAGACTTGGCATCTGAGCCGAGTTAAGGCCAGCCCTGTCGTTACTAAGCCACCTTGGGCAGGTCCTCGGGTGTGAGGTACAGAGTAATTTTTCCCTTTCCAGAGACTTGGGGTTGTAAGGTGCCAAGATGAGGGAGGAGAACTCGCTTTGAGAATGATGAAGAATGAATGAATATAACCAGACGTCACCCTCCTACTTAGAAGCATGGATGATAATAATAGTCACTTTTGTCTAGCCAGACATTGTGGAGACAGCCTCACATGGAATCACATCTAGCCTTCAAGAAAACCAAGGCATAGAGACATGAGCCACTCCCTCAAGTTCACCCTCAAGCTCAAGTTAATCAGGAATTGTCAGAGTTAGGCATGGATTCAGCATTCTTTGACAACTAGACTAAATGAGACTGAAACACAGATGTGTTGTCTCAGATAATAACTAAGCACCTGGGAAATCATAGCATGTTTACATCAAAAAGTACTCTGTTTTTCCATTTTTCCTTTAGTGTATAAGTGTGTTAGGGCACAGTCACTAAATGGCTGCTGCAGCTCCAGACATCACACTCATATTCCCTGCAGGAAAAGGACAGCTGATGGGAGTGTGCCCTCTAGGTCTCTGTGTTAGAAAAACGTTACCCAGAAGATTTCTGTTGATTACCTAATGGAGGCTGAAAGAAGAGGCTGGTGGTATTGGACAAGTTGACCCATAGTGTCCATTCCTTGGCAGAGGAGGGATTTGAACCTAAGTCTATCTTCCCCAAAGCCTGTGTTGCTACCCATAGCACCAGGGGACCCTCCCAGCCCTATTGGACCCCCAGACCCTGAGAGATGCAGACACATGGCTTTCCCAGACTTGTATGAAAGCCACTTTGGGGCAGTATTTGTGGCGCTGACATCCTGAGCTGTGACCTGGCGGATTTGTGTACACCTCAGCCTTAAAAGGCAGAAGAGAGGGGGGTGAGGGGTTCAGAGATGAGTCCGCAGGAGAGGAGGGTGAGGAGAAGACACCGGCAAGGGGCGTTTTCCTTATTTAGCTCCCAGAGACTGTCATCAAACTCTTTTTCTCATTTTATTCCGAATGTAACATTTAACCTTTCCGCTCAAGCATCAAATCTGGCTGCCTGGTGTATAATTACGAACTTTTCTTCCCTTTTGCTCCCCTCTCCCCCACCCTGAAAGCTTTTAAAACTCCCTCGCTGGGTACCATCTTTCTCCTTCACTCTCCAATTAAATTAAAAATAGCAGCTCCATGGGCCGTGCAGGGCCAGCAGCCTAACCCGGCGGGGTGGTGTGTGGTGCCCGGAACCTGCCTGCCGGCTCCGGCTCGGGCTGGCAGCTGCTCAGGGCTGGGGGAGGCTCATGCTCCACCAGGGGTCTGGGGCTGCCTGCCAGCAAGGCCAGGTGCAGGGGGTGGGAGGCAGGGTCTTGGCAGCTGGGGTGGGTCTGGCAGAGGGGACAAAGGGAACAGCTCCCCAGCGGGTGGCCGTCCCTGGTGGTGAGTCTTCCGGTGCTGCCAGATTCCACTGCCAGAGCCAGGGCTTGGTGGCCGGGCCCTTGGCCTGACCTGGGGTTTGGATGCTCAGAGTAGCCGAGATGACCCTGGTGAGGGCTGCAGTTTCTGCTGATGCCGAGAACCAAGTGTTGGTGTCACCCGCTGGCTGCAAAGGGCTCCTGTGGCCTCTTTCACTGCAGGATCCCCAGGTGGTGACTTGGATGAGGGCACAGGCTCTGAAGCCAGCCTGCCTGGGTTGGAATCCCTGCTCTGCTGCTTTCTGGTTCTGCTACACTCCCCATGCCTCAGTTTCCCTATTTGTAACAAGGGCATCCTAAAGAGGCTACCCTGGGTGGTTTTCATGACTACCAGAGGGCTATTTTGTTTGTTTTGTTTTTGGTGGTACTGGGATTTGAACTTAGGCCTCACACTTGCTAGGTAGGCACTCTGCCACTTAAGCCATGCTCCCAGACTTTTTTGTTTTTAGTATTTTTAGATAATGTCTTGCTTTTGCCCAGGTCATCCTGGATTGCAATCCTCCTACTTATGCCTCCTGCATAGCTGGCATTAGAGCACACACCACCACTGTCCACCTTACTGATTAAGATGGGATCTCACTAACTTTTTGCCTGGTCTGGCTTTGTACTGTGATCCTTCTGATACCCAACTCTTGAGTGGCAGAGATTATAAGTGTGTATAAAGCTACAGGGCTTTAATGAGTTCACATTTAAAAATAGGGCCAGCTGTTAGGATTTCTGTAAACACCACTGTTTACGGACTAAGTTCTCTGGCAAGAGCCTTGCTCTTCCATCCATATTTGCTTACTTGAATGCAGGTAGGTGCTAAATACAAAATGGATGACCCGCAAAGTGCCAGCTTCCTTTCCAGGGGAAAGCCATGTGGATATTTCCTTGTGGAATGACAGGGTGGAATCACATTCTGCACCCAGAGGCATTGCAGGGGTGGGGGTGACTGGCTGCAGGGAGAGGTGGGCAGCAGAGGGTCTCCTGTAGAAACTGGCGTCTGAGGTGACTCCAGCAAGAGGAGCAGGATTGCACACATGCTGTTCCTTTTATTTTCAGCGCTTATCCCTGTGCCAGTCTTAGAGTTGCCTTGGGCAGTGGGGGATGGGGGTTAAGAGATGGACCACTTAGAAAGGCTGGAGGGCGAGGGCCATAGGGAATGGGACAGATGAAGGTGGACAGCTTTCAAATGACAGCAGGCATCACACCAAATATGAAGATTGTCCTGAGGGCGGCGGGAGGCCTGTCAGAATTGCATCCAGAGTCGTGATGTCCCTCGAAGAATTGGAACTCTGGGTATGACTTGGAGAAATGCTCAGAGAGGGACAGGTCA